GTCACACTCTCTCAGCCTCAGGGGAAGGCAATGGCAAACTCCCTCTGAGCAAATCTTGCCAAGAAAACCTCATGATAGGTTCACCTTGGGGTCGCCATAAGTCGGAAATGACTTGAAGTCACACAACCACCACCAAGTTTTCATTTCTGGAAATAGCCATTTTTCACTGAAATGTTATTTTTTTTTGGGGGGGGGGAGGAGAAGGAGCTTCAAGGGAGCAAGGCCCATAGAAAATCTATGGGGGGTCACAAGAAAGCCACGGACCACATTTTCCCAGCTCAGGTTACAATGTTAGAGGAGACTCGGGAGATCCAGATTGCCAGTCCTAAGTCCTGCGACTCGCAGCCTGACCTACATCACAGAGCCGCTGTGAGGATCAAGCAAAGCTGTGCATGCTTCTTTTCCTGGAGGAAGAGTGGGATGTAAATATAAATTGTAATAACGCTCATAATGTTCCTCAGCTGTAGAGCTTGCTTGTGCCTGGCTTGCTGCCCATGACTGCAGAACAACTGCCCAGTCAAACTTGAGAGATGGCCAGGACCATAGAGCTCAAATGGGGGGAAACCCTCTTTAATGATGGAGATCAGGGGAGGCACCTAGAACATGATTTGTATGCATGCGCAGTAGGGACACAAGGGGAGCGTTTCCCTCTGTGCAGTGAGAAATTGCAAGTAATCCATTTGTTTTAATCGCTGTGGGACACGTTTATTATTTCTCCCCAGCAGCAAAAAAACAAAACATACACACACACACACACTAAAACACAAAAACAAAACAATGGAAGCAGCACATGGCAAATGCTAACTGCTTGATTCAGGCATATTCAGGCAGATCCCTTTGGCCGTGATGCATTTATTTCCATCATTCCCTCCCCATCCAAGCCGGCAGGGACATTGCCTTCTCTAATCCACAGGAGAGAACCTTGCCTCCAGTGGAACAAACGTTTGTTGCGATTACAGAAATGAAACTGCACAATTGTGTGCGAGCATGTGTGGCTTTTTAGAAAAGAATTGTCAGCGGGAGATTTTCTCCCCTCCAAACTCGAAATGTAATTAGCCACATGCAGCATGGCTTTTTTTCCCCAAAACACAGACGGAGGAAGTCTCCCGACAGCCTGAATTCAAATAATGTGACTGGGCTAATCTACTTGTAAAATAACCAACCCCTTGAGTAGAGATGTGACAATCGCTCCATCTCCATTTTGTTGCGTTTCTCTGGATCCCATCTGCATTTTCTTCTCATCCCTCTTCCCTATCAGGCGACGGTGGTGGTGGGAACTCCCCATTGGAAATCCATGTGCATTTTGGTATATACTGGTCCCCGTGCGGGCACTCTTGCAATGCCTTTGTTTTTGTGCCTGCATTTCTGTATGCATTTCCCCTATTGATGAGAGTGTGTTGGTGCGGATTTTTCAAAGATATCCGTCTTGAGTTGCGTGCATTTATTTGCACATAGAGTTGGCCCGCCACATTTATGGGTTTGACTTTTGCAGGGTTGATGGTCCATGGATTATTTGCTGCCACCTCCGCTGCTGCCATGTGCCATTTTAATAGGGGCTGTGAGCTTCGCAAGACTGAGAGACTGTGAACATGTGGCGAGGCTTGTAAGTCCCTATTAAAAATGGTGTAGGGCAGCAGCGGAGGTGGCAACAAGCCCTGCCAGCCTCTCACTTCTGTCTTGTGAAAGAACCCCGCCACCTTGAAGGCATCCGCGATGGGTTGAATCTGTGAATCTTACTTTTTGTGTGTGCTAAATATTTTTTGGGGGGGGGTTAGATTAATTTGCCACTTTCCCACTTTTGCAGGGGCCCTGCATTCCTAATCCCAGCTAATGTGTAGGGCTGTATTTTTAAAAGGGGGGGTGTCCCTTGCCGATTGCATTTTCTTCCCAAAGACAAAGAACCAAAAGACATGTGCGCGCTTTTGTTAACAGTCTCACAGACCACAAACTGCACAAATTGTTTTTTTAAAAAATTGGTTAATGGGCTTTCCCCCCTCTCTTCCCTACCCTCTTTAGTGCCAAGTCTTTTGCTTAAATTCATATGCACCTAAATGATGAACAACGCAGCTAGACTCAGGCATTTGGGATGATATAGCTTTGTGTTCTTAGTCTCTGTGCAGTACTATTTATAGCTCCAATTAACTCCTCATCTTTGGAATACGTTGTTTGACACATCTGTTACGGAGCCCACACAGATACTCGGCTGTGTGCGTTCTCTCCTATGGTTTTATTCAGGACTTAATTACAGTCAGGGGGGCTCAGTCTGTCTTGTGTTTGTCCCAAGCTTCAGGGATCTGAGAACAAAAAGTCAATAATATCATCACTATAGTTTTCCAAGACCTTTATGGCGGTGCTCAAACTGGTCATCTCTGAAGTTAATTCAGCATTGCTCCTTAAAACAGATTTTGATGATTTAGCCAAGGAACTAGTTCAGAAATTAAATGAGGCCAGGGAACGATTTGGCAAGGTACAAGGGCAAGAGCTGTATCACAGTGTTAAGAGTACTTTTGTATGCAAAGGTTGTCCCCATGTTCAATCCCTGAGGTCTCCAAGTAAGAAGATCCCAGATAGGGGAACTAATGAGAACCTCTGTTTGGGATCCTGGAGATCTGATTCTAGCGACTGCTGAGTTGGAAGGTACGTGCCTTAACCTCAGAGGTTTGGGATTTAGCATTTCCCCGCACTATGATGGGAATTGTGATCAAGGACAAAGGACCATAGCACAGTGGCAGAGCACCTGCATTGCACACAGAAGGTTCCAGGTTTAGTCCCTGACATTTCCAGCAAAAAAAATCAGGTCACTAAGGATGGGACTGCACAACTTGAGATTCTGAAGTACCTCTACTATCAGCTAGAGCAATGGTTCCCAAACTTTGGTCCTCCAGATGTTTTGGACTTCAGCTCCCAGAATTCCTGACTGATGGCCAAGCTGGTTAGGGCTTCTGGGAGTTGAAGTCCAGAACACTTGGAGGACTAAAGTTTGGGTATCACTCACAGTACATGATGCTAGGCTACATGGACAAATAAGCTGATGTGGTACATTACCATTCCTATCATCTTCTGTAAGAGTCAGTGTGGTGTAGTGGTTTGAGGGTTGGACTATGAATCTGGAGACCAGGGTTCGAATGCCAGATCGGCCAGGGAAACCCACTTAGTGACCTTGGGCAAGTCACACTCTCTTAGCCTCAAGGGAAGGCAATGGCAAATCTTCTCTGAACAAATTTTGCCAAGAAAACCTCATGATAGAGTCACCTTAGGGTCTCCATAAGTCGGACATAACTTGAAGGCACACAGTGAGAACATCAACATCCTCTACTCACTGGTTGTGTCTGTCATCCATCAAACCGTGTTTGCAAAAAACTGTTCTACCCAATCCATGGTTTGTGGGAGTTGACAGACTACAGAAAAAGAGGATGGGTCTTTTTAAAAAAAAAAAAAAAAGATTGTTATTGTCCCTTTTTTACTGATGGGTTTTAAAATGGCTTTTTAAAAACAGTATTTTCATATTATACTTTCAATATTTTAACATTTCCTCTGTTTTTATCTGAAGCTTTTTTTTTATCTATACGTGTTTTTAATCTTGTGTGAATTGTCATGCGTCCCACTTCTGGAGGAAGACAAGATATAAGGCAAAACAAAATAAATAATAGGATCACATAACAAATTCTCTTGTAATGGGATTGTAACTTTTGAAAAAGAGAAGAATCTACCCCCCAGTGACCAGATATCCAAATTAGCTCCTATCAAATTGGAGGATAGTATATTTTCTAAAATTAATTTCTATACTTGCTAAAGAGGTTTTTGACATTTTTGATACATCTAATCTTTATTTTGCAAGTGATTTGTAACCACAGTTTTCAGATTCTTTGGAAGAGTGGTCTTCAACTGTCCAAGTATATATCTCTAGGTGTCTTGAGACCTTTAACCCATGAGAAAGTTCTGCCCGAATAAGATCTTCAAGGACTTTGCCAAGTACCATGTTGATTCTTGACATTCTGTTGTCAAGGGTTAAAAGTGTGTCATCATTCAGAAATATAATCCCCCTTCCCCCTTTTTGTTACACATCCAGACTAAGAGAGAGAGCACCCTGTAATGCACAAGCTTGAAAACTTAATTTTGATATACAGTTGGTCTGCTAATAAAGGCATGATTTTATTGACCCTAAAAATAATACTCTGAGATTAAC